CCTCGGGGAAGAAATGGAGCTCGCTGTGCAGGACAGCACCGAAGGGATTAACGATCCTGAATTGGATGTCGAGCAGGCCACCGCGAGTCACAACGAATTCGAAGGTGAAGTCCTCGCCCGGACGCTGCGACTTGTACTTGAAGCATTCGGTAGTGCGCGGCTCGATCTGCATCGTCATTCCATGTGCCACCTGGATGGCGAGCAGCGCCACGGCCAAGATCAGGAGCAAACTGGACGTTGAGGCCTTCATTCTTGACTAATCGATCAGTCACTCCAGAGTGCCGTGTTGATCTTGATGTGTTGCCCTTCTTTCTTGCCGCTCTGCCCTCGTGGCGCGGTTGCTGACGTCATGCGATACTTGCGTCGAAATTTCGACCTTTTACGCAAAGCCAAAACTAACTAAAAGAAATAGAAAAGAAAACGCTGTTGAAACCACGCGCACCCTTTAGGTCAACAGTTCAGTTGGGCAATGTCTCTTTATAAAACAGTTTTACGGACATTCAAAGGGAGCGCATCCTCTTCCTACTGTCTTGCTTCTCTTCATTTTCCGTTGCGTCCGTTCCTGTCTTACTTTCTTCTTGGTGTTCCTTGTCCTGATCGCCCACTTCCTCACTCTTTCTCTTGCCCTCAACTCCACCCGCCACCGTCTGCTTCAGCAACCATACCACCTTCTTCTCCACTTTGGAATCCTCTTCATTCGTCTGATCAAGGCGAAGGTAGTTCTTCGCAGCCAGCAGCTCGACGAGTCGCTCGGGCTGGAAGCCGACGTTGACAAAGCACAGCTGGGCCAGGGAGCGCTTGGCCGCTTCCACCGAAGTAGGACGCTGCTGCGGGTTGGCCTCCTGCCGCTCGACCCATCGCATCACCTTCTCCATCACCACCGCCGCCTCCTCCAACTCATCATCAGCTCCGCCCTCGCTCTCCACCCTCACCTCGGGCCAAGCGTGGAAGATCAGTTGCACCCGAACGCGAGGTTGCAGCTGCCGCGCTGGCCTTGGTCGTCGGTCACTCCCGCTACGGCCTGGGGCCCGTTCGCGGGCCATTTGTGGCCTTTCACTGTGTCTGTTGCGGGGGCGGCAGTCTTCTTGGTTGTCGGCCTCGTCTGCGCGAGCCGGTGCGGTGGTCTCGTCCGCGACAACCTCGATGTGGCCCAGACGGACCAGACGATCGAACACGGCGTCGGCAGTCCAGACCTGGCGCTTGACCGAGCACAGATCGGTGCGCAGCGCGCGGAGGAGGCGGGACTCGGACTTAGGCAGGCAGGCCAGGTGTCGCTGCACCCATACCTCTAGCCGCTTAGCCATCGCGGCCTCCTCAGGCTCGGCGAGGTTGCCCTGCTCGAGCTGATCGCATGCCGCCGCATGGTCTGTCGGCATCTCCTCGTCCATCTTCTCAACCACCTCGGCGTGGGAAGGGAACCAGCCGCGGTGCTTTGGGTTGGTGTGGTGGTTGGTGGCGGGTACATGAGGGGTGGCACGACGGCTTCTGTTCATCATAGAAATGTGCGGTTGGCGATGATTGGATCAGAAATGTTGAGGTGCAGCGGGCGTTAGCCACTCGACTTTGTGACCCACACTTGCCCAACGATTGTGGGTTGGCCGTGGCTGCCTTTCTTCTTTCGTTCTTTCCTTCACTTTGCTTCTTGCATTTGGCTCTTCGGCGAAAAATTGTCTGGTATTTATGCTTTTCCCTCGAAGCCAACGAACCCTCAAAGCCCTCGGGGTTAGTCGGAGTAGTCTGAGTGTCGGGACCGCCTGTCCTTGTGGTGGCGATCCTTTTTGTCCTTCTTATCTTTCTTCTCCTTCTTGTGCCTCTTCGAGTCCCGTTTGTCCTTCTTGTCCTTCTTGTCCTTCTTGTGCTTTCGCTTCTGCAGGTAAAAAAAAAGAGAGAGAAAAGGTGGAGTTGATAACGGCGCCTGGTGAGCATGGCGCGCCCAAAAGTGATGGAGCTGCGGAGGGGCAAGTGCCTTTCGCTTCTCGTCTTTGTTGGCGCGGGCGAGGATCTTGAGCGCCTGCTTGAGGTCGCTGATCTGACCCACGGGCTCGGGTCTGTGTGCCACAGGCGCCGATGATGAAGATACGGCGTATCACGTAAGACGAACGGCGAGGCAGAAGTAGGGAGGAAGACAGAACAAAGGGAAACAAGAAAACGTACGGAGGTGGCTCGTCGCCTCCCTCGGGCTCGGGGATGAGGTCGTATTTCTGACCGCCCGTGCTGTAGCACTCCGCGGCCAGGTGCCCACCCGCGCCGCACTTGGTACAGATCGTCGGCAATATCGCTCCTGCGAGGGGGGGGGAAGTGAAACGTGTGCGTGTTTGGTGATGCCGCGTCGTGTGCGTTCGTACCCAGTTCGATTCGCTTGGCTTCGCCGGGTCGTGGCTTCCTGCGCTGCGCGTTCTGTTCGAGTTCCACTGTAGAATCCGGATCAAGGCGATTCACACGCAACGTGATCAGCACAGATGCATTGCGCTACTCTGAGTACTCAAAGCTGGGGAGAGGCGTGCCATTGTTTGCGTCCAAGTCTTCGCCGGATGTCTGTGAGACGTACTTCATCGACAAACTAACCTTGCCGTCCTGTTGCCCGCACATCGAGTCAGATACCGAAACGCAACACGCACACACGCACACACGCACACACGGAACGTACGGCGAGCGAGATGACTTTGACCCACACGGCCTCGCCCACCTCGACGATGGTGGGCAGGTCCTCGGCCTCGATGCGCGAGCCGCTCACCTGCGAGATGTGCACGAGGCCGTGGCGCCGCCGACCCTCCATCTCCACGAACACGCCGTAGTCCTTGATCGACGCCACCTTGCCCCGATGGATGCTGTGCAGCTCGGGCGGAGGTTCGTCCTCGCCCCGGTTGGGCGGACCTCGTCGCATGCCACCACCGCCTCCACCATAACCTCCGCCGCCACCGTCGCCCTGATCGTGATCTCTTCCTCCTCTACCTGCGCGATGATGAAACTTGACGCGTCAATGGAGGCAATCAAAAATCTGAGAGATTTGGGGGGCAGTGTGCCTTCATCTTGGGCAGCGCCGCCTGATGCTTCCATGCGTTGCAGCATGCGTGCTCGCTCGGGATTCATGAATTTGAAGCGATCATCACTGCCGCCGCCATCGCTTCCGTGGCCTCTGCTGTCTCCACGATCATCCCTGTCGTCCCTGCCCCCACGTCGCCTATCCCTGTCGCCTCTATCATCTTCATCGCGTCTGTGCCGTTCGCGATCCGGCGATCGCACGCGTTCCCTACCGTTGTCTCTGTCTCTACTGCGATCGTAGGAGTCCCTTGTGCGGTCGCGTCTATCCCAACGATCCTCATCTTCATCCCTTCGTCTGCTCATTTTCTGGTATTTTACAATCAAAAAAATCATTTTCTTTTATTCCACGTTTTTTTAAGCTGCACGACCCTGCCGGCACTGCAGCGGCTGAGGGTCGGAGTCGTGGACGAGCACGCCCTGGCCGAAGAGCCACATGGGTGGTGTAGGTGAGCGGCACGGTCGTCCCACAAGGGCCGGAATGGAGAATTTCTAACATTGCCCGGTCCTGGTGGTGATTGAAAAACACTTCTCTCCTCGAAACAAAGTGTTCACTGCCGTGATGAAAGCGAGCAGAGTGCAATGGCGAACAGCTCCTGCATCGCCTGAGTGGGCAGCATATCCTCCAGATTTGTGAAATCGTCTCTGGTGTGTCGCACAGTGTGGAAAAAGATGAGTTGGTGTTGAGTTCGTGGTACCGCCACCACGTACCTGTCACGGGTCAGCACGACCAGGCAGAGCAGGGCCAGGTTCAAGGGACTTCTTTGGATGCCCGCGGCGTGCGTGGTGCTTCGGGATCGGCGCTCTTCGGCCTGCGCCACCGCGCGGGAAGAGTGTGCCCTGCGAAAGCGTCGGTCCAGGATGTCGATAGGCGATGGTATGGGCTTCTTCCACAGCTTGCTCAGGCGTGCCTGCTCCTGCTTGCTGGGCACCAGCGGCGCCCCCAAAGACAACAACAGCGCAGCAACTTCGAACCACCCTGACAAGGCAACGACCGTGGCGTCAGTGGCCAGACCAAAGCAAGGGCTCTATAGGGCCGATTGGGGCAAGGGAGTACCGCATCCGAGAGCAAGATGGATGGCCGTTTCGCCCCTGATGTTGCGCACGCGCATCAGCTTCTGCGCAGCCACTCGCCCAAAGCGTCCTTCCACCTGCTGCACCACCATACCGACTCCTTCATATCTCTGCAAGTGATGTGCGTGTGCGTGTGCGGTTTCCGCATGTGCGCAGAAGTCAAAATTTTGTGCGTAGAAGAGTTTTGAGGGAGGCAGTACCCCTCCGATGAGAAGGTGGAGGAGGGTGTTGTTGTGCTCGTCGCGGCCCAGCAAACACGCCGATTCTTTCTCGACGGCAGCCCGGAGCGCCTCCAAATTGCGCAGCAGATCGAGGAATGTGCTCTTGTACCGGCGCGCCACGCGGACCACCTTGCCAAAGGCCAGCTGCGAACCATAGAGCGAGTGATCAGACTGCCACACCATTCGACTGTGCCACGCTACGTTAGCGCATCGTACCGTCACAGTGTCGCGGATAAGCACGCGGCCCAGGTGAGGGCACACGTCAAAGGGCTCCACCACGAACCCAGCGAGCGGACGCAGCCGAACCTCGGCCACTGTTGACGGGCCGAATGAGGCGTTCACCAACAATGCGGCTGAGTGATAGAGTTCGGTGCTGGGTACCTTCGCCTGCACACACCTCACCCAGGGCTCCCCTGACTACATTCTGGCCTCGCTTGACACTGAGTATGGCCATTACCTGTGTGTGTGTGTGTGTGTGTGTGTGTGTATGTGTATGTGTGACCGACGACAAGCGCAATCAGGCGTCAGAATGGCGACTGGAGTTGGTGGCCATGCGGTGCGACGCAACCTTGCAGCCAACGCGAGCACCGTGACTGTGCACCGCCACGTCCTGGCCCACCGTCAGTACTCTTCGTCCCTGTAACGATACAAAGCAACACCGACCCCCATTGCGTGTGAACACATCAGCGCAGAGGCGAAGAGAGGTAGTGCTAGGACCTTGGCCGACACTGGATTGATGGCGCGCACAGAAACAGTGAATTCGGTAACTGTCAATTCAAGCATCGTCCCTGCGTCTTCCCTGGCGTGCATCGCTACCATTCCTGTTGTCCAGCCTCCACCCGATCAGACGATTCCACCACAGCCTCGAAGGCGAAGAAGAACGAAGAGTGAAGAGCGAACTAACGAACCTGAGTGTAGGAACCGGGTGGCAGGTGTTTTGGTGGCAAAAACACAGAGGCAGCTACCGGCACTGGCCGACACCAGCGTCTGACCCACACACCGCGTGCGTGAAAAGAAGTCCTGAACTATGGCGGTGCGAGTGGTTGTGGCCTGGCGTACCTCATTGAATGACTCCGCACCTTCAGTAGAGATTATTGGCGCCGCACCGTTCCATATGCCGAGACGACTCTCCTGAGTTCGTGGATAGTATGCTAGATCCTGCCTGAGCTCACACAACCCAAGTTAATGCTCTACGTCAAGCAATGTCAAACAGTTGTCGGCTGTTGCTGGTCGTTGGGGGAACGAAGTAGGACCTGGGTCTAAAGTGCCCGGACAGGACGCGGCCGTAGGGGGCTGGGCAGCAGCCTGGTCTCCGCTTCACCCGCAGGAGGGCCTGGCGAAAAGGGGCAGCCGGCTGGTCCTTCTGCTGCTGGCGCGTTTTGTACAGTGGCAGCTCCTCCCGCCTGTGGGCCACTCCACCCTTCAGCCCATCGTGCCCGAATTGTGCAATGTGCCGTGCCGGTTGATGACGCCGTACCGGATGTTCTCCAGAGCGTCGGCCATGCTGAGGCCCTTGGCGAAGAACGGACTCACAAACCCTTTGTCTTCCCACGCGCTTGTCACCACCACGTGTATGTTCTGCCTGCGCGCCGTTGTGTGTGTCGTGTGTGTGTCGTGTGTGTCGTGTGTGCGTGTGTGTGGTGAGCGCTGAATGCAGATCAAAGGGAGGCGTGAAACCAGGACAGACCTCTGGAATCGCATTCGAAGTAAGAGGTTGACGACTTGCTTCTCTCGACTGCAGATGAGCGCTTCGTGTGCCTCCGTGTCCCAGTTATGAGCAAGCTCGCTCACCACAGCGTCTGCTTTGGCGAGCACCACAATGAGCTGCTCCATGCCCAAGCCCCTGGACGGACGCGACGGCCCCCCCCCCGCGGAGAGAGCAGCGCCAAACGGGTCAGTCCCATGTACCCAGGCACCAAGCGACAGAAGCCGGTACCTGGCGAGCAGGGCAGACTCGAACAGCGAAGCCTTGCCGCGGTTGGACATGCACGCCGCGAACTCCTCGCCCACCGCAGGCACCACCAGCAGCGCGTAGTCGGTCTGCAGACCCAGCCATAACCCCAGCGGGTTGATATGTGCGTGTGCGGTGCGTGCGTGTGTGCGTGTGGGCGGGAGAGCACCAATGATGCAGTGTGTATGCAGGCATGGGGGTAGTTGGTCAGCGATGGCACGCTCACCAGAGACAACGGATACCGTTTGGTGTTGATCCGGTATCGTCTGGGCAGACCCAGCATGTGAGTGATGTGAAAGCAAGGAAAGGGCAAGGCTAGCGATCTAGGTACGTGGTGGTCATTGTGACGCCTCTCCTGCGCTCTCGCTCGCTTAGCCGCACCAGCTCGTGGAGCCGATCGTGCAGCTGAAGGAAAACCTATGCCCAAGGTGGTTGGTGGAAACAACAGAGAGGAGGCGAACGAGCAGGTGAACGTACGTTGCCATGAGACATGAGCCGCGACACGACGCGCGGGTGTACAGCGCCAAAGGCGATCAGCATACGGCCGACCAGGTAGGCCTTGCCACTCTGGGGCGGACCCAGCAAAACCGCCTGCGACCATGTGCAGAAGCCACACCACACAAAAGTTTGTTTGGACCGACCACTTGACGTGCCTGCAGAAGAAGGAGTGGAGTGAAAACGCACCTCAACGAGCACCTCCGTACGCTGCATGTGTGTTATTCCACCTGTGCCCGGCAGAAGGCCAGACCAAGAAAGACAAGAAATAAAAAGGAAACGGCTAACTTCAGGTATGACAAGAATTCACGACAGAATGGACAGGTGCATGGCTAAGAGACGTCGGCCATGAGGCGGCGGTACGCGAGCTGGTGGGCGTGCATGTCGTGGAACACTGCGTGCTTGGCGTCATGGTACGCGCGTACACGCTCGCGCTCCGCGTCTGGCATGCCCTCGCCTCCTTTGGTGGGGGTGCTGTGTGAGTACACGATGACAAGCAGTCGCACACAAGGCACAATGAGGGCCTTGATCTTACCGGGAGTGATGGTGGCCTTGGGACCCGGGTCGAGGGCTGACATGGCCGCAGGAATGGAAGCAAAGTCGCCGCTGGCCACGGCTGCGAGCATGCCCGTACCTGAACACACCGGCGCGCGCCAGTTGGCCGTGATGAAGGCGTCAGGGCTCACGCAAATGCAGTGGGCAGGGACGAGGGAATGTATGGGTACCGAGCAGCATGGAGTCGGGTTCGTTGGAAATGATCACGCGACAATTGGTGACATCAGCATGCTCCTGTACGAAGAGCGGGTTCTTGGAGAGGCCGCCTGGTATGGCAACGCGACCACCAATCAATCAATCAATTGGCGCACATCTTTCATCAGCCCCCCCCCCAAAGGATTGCGCATACCGGTGAGCATGATGGTGTCGATGTGGTAGCCCGCTTTGTTCATCGCGGTGATGATGTGTCGCGTACCATGCGCGATGCTCTGCGATTGGTGGCAAAGTCAGTTTCAGATCAGCGACCAGTGATCTGCCATGGTTGTCCGGTCGGCACCTGAATGGTTGCCAAGTAGAGCAACGCCAGGTCATCTTCGGTTGCGCTCAGCCGCAGGCCAGAGATCATCCCGCACAGCGTCGCATCGGCACGAGGTGACCTACGTAGTGAGGTCGCAGCGCAGCACAACACAGAGGCTTGGTCAGGCCACCCATCCGAGAAGGCGACAATGTTCGAAAGGGTGGGGTGTTCGGCGGAGACCTGTTGCCATGGAAGTCCGGAAACACGTGCAGATCTCGCGTCAACTGCGCGCGGAATGCTACGCCCCTGGGTGAGGCGGAAGTGGCTGACGTCAGCGATAGTATCCGCGGCTGATGGTGAGGTGAGTGCGTACCTTTCGCGGGCGAGAGCCTGGACCAGTTCATTCAGTGCCTCGTAAATGGTCTGCCCTTTCGCCGTGGCTCTTTCGCGCACTCGGGGTGAGGCCGGATGTGTGGCGATGATGTGGTCCAGAAGCGCCCCCGTCGCGCTTTGCCCGCCCTGATCGTGGTAAAAACAGGTCAGAGAGCAAGGCATGGCACCGGCGAAGGGGCGAGCGACGAATGGACGAACACACACACTACACGACACACGCACGGCGGAGAGGGGAGACGGACCTCGGTGAGCCAAAGGCCGGGGATCATGGCCGAATGGTAGGGACCCCATATGCCCTCAATGAACCTGCAGGCGGGTCAGTGCCGTGAGCCCGAGCAGAGAGTCGGTCTTGTCTGGGGCCAAATGTGAGAAGAGGGTACCGGGGCTGGTGGGACACGGCCATGTGACACGAAGAGGTCCCGCAGATGATCGCCAAGCGGTTCTCTGTCTCTCCTTCGAGACGCGCCGCTCCGCAGCCCAGGATACCAATGCCGCCGGCATGAGCGTCGATAATTCCCACCCCGACCGCAGTACCTGGCGTCGGCCGGCCAAGCGTCAGACAACCTTTCCCGTTGTGAGCGAGTCGGTGAGGTGCAGGGTGGCGAGGTACCGGGTAGGAGCCCCAGCGCTTGGGCTGCCTCGGGAGCAAGGCCCTGCGACAGCGCTTCTCCCATCGGACGCACACGCGTCCCGATGCGCCGGTAACCTTCATCCACGAACTCGCCTGAAGAAGATGGGCGTGTACTGATCAATTCGCACACTTAGCGTCATAGGAGGCATATGTGTAGCGGCGATACCGAGCCCGATGCCGCGCCAAAAGGTCTCCTGCCAGCCATCGACATCCGTTTGGGCTGCGTCGTCGGCTGCGTGGCCGAGAAACGTCCACTTGCACACCTGCGTCAATTCATTGACGGATGCGCGAGAGAGGCCTCACGACACATTAGAGAGACGCCCGTTGAGAGTAGAGGCGGAGAGCTCGTTGGACAACACACATGAGTCAGACTAACCAGGGTGCACAGCGAACGGGTGGTGTCTCCTCCGGTGGCCTGCACGCATCGGCATACGGTGCGAGGTGAGCCACAGAAGAAAGAAGCAAACGCGCACACGCGGTGCCGGATCACCTTGAAGGTGAGGTAGTCGGCCAGGTCGAAGAAGTGGGCCATGCGGGTCCACCGATCGGGCAGGTGGCGCTTGAGCCACAGGATCTTGGGGCTCTCCATCTCGGGCGATATACGGCCGCCCACGTACTTGAGCACCTCGTGCTCTGTGTCCCCACGGCCCATGAGTGATCGCGCAAGAACCGACACCACACGACACGCACGACACGCGGCACGAGACACACAGCACAACACGACACGGCACTTTGAAGAGACGAACTTGTGGCGTTGATGAGCTCGGCTTCGTGGGCGGCACGGTGGTCCAGCCACACGATGATATTGCGCTCTGCTGCCGCCGCTGCTTCGTGGTCTTCTTCACCGCCCTTGCCAGGAGGGGTCACGCTCACCGGCCGACCCTCCGCATCCACCACAACCCTGCGTCCTCGCCCAACAGCCGCGGCGTGGGCGCATAGCGGCCGAGTCAACACCACACTCCACTCACGGACGCGTGCACAAGCGGCGGGGGGGAGAGGAGCACACTACAGCGAGCAGGTGGCATCGAAGGCGATCCCCCGCACTTGGCTGGCGGCCACACCTGCGTCCTGCAACGCACCACGCACCGCTCCGCACACGGCGTCCCACACCTCTGCGTGCGGTGCAGGCCACGCGCGTGTGACATAAGGACTGCAGCAGTTGCAGGTTTGGTTGGGGGGGAGCTACCAGTTGAAGACTGTTCGTAGAGGTGGGGATGGGCTGCCGGGCGATGTAGCGGCAGAGGGCGTTCGGCACGCCCCAGCACGGCGCCCCCCACGCCCCCTGTCCGCTGCCCAACCACACCCGCTCTCACGCCCTGCGTGCCAACGTCCACCCCCACGTAGCACCCGCTGCTTTCCATCTTTTTCGTTTTTCTTATCCTTTTTTCTTGCTCTTGTTGGCCAGTGTGCAGAGACAAGGGGGATGTGATGGAGGCAGAGTGGTGAGAACTGTTGGATACGTCCATACTGCGCAGAAAGCACCGCTTCCCATCCGAACAGCGAAGTTAAGCTGCGCCAGGCGGTGTTAGTACTGGGGTGGGCGACCACCCGGGAATCCACCGTGCCGTATCCTTTTTACCTTTTGCACCCACACACTCCACTGCTCTCCCCCGTGCAGCACCACAGCCCAGCCAATTTCCTAAAATTGTGCGGGCGGGCGAGCAGGCGGGAGGGCGGGAGGGCGGGAGGGAGGGCGGGCGAGCAGGCGGGGCTGACACCGACTCAATCAACAGGCGGTGGCTTTGGAAGCGTTGCCTGTGTCTGCTGGAGGAGTTGCATGAATGCGTGAAAGAGTGCTGCAAGCTGCTCGTTGAGGGCGCGCTCTTGCTGGATTCCCTCTTGATGATACTCAACAAGATTCCCAATCAACTTGACCATGTTGCTGTGGTATGATTGTTCCTCATCAGCCTATGGGAGAGGGAGAGCACATGCGCGCACAAAGGCATGTGAGTGAGCAATCAGCACCAGGCCAAAAAAAGAACATACCAATTGCTGGCGCTTCTGCTCACGTTCCTTGCGTGCCTGCTTCTGCTCCGCAGCAGCCTTGTGAGCAGCTGCACGCTCTTCATCAGCAGGTGCCTGGCGCTCCGATCATGCCACGACCTCACGGTCCCAAAGGGTCTGGAGGGCTACATGACCATGTGTGATGAGCTGCTGTAGCTCCTTCTGCTTGTTCTCATGCAGAATGCGCTCACTCTCACACAGTGCGGCATCCATCCTTGCCCGTGGCTTGAACAGCTCTGTAACAGAGAGGACAATTAACATTAAGAAGTAAAGACAAAACAACAAGGAGAGGACGAATGATGTCAAGCGCTGTAGGTTGGCATAGTGGGTCTCACACTTCTCATTGGTAGCCTCCACAATGGGATGATGGTTCCTACAAATGTAGGCCCAGATTTGCTCCTTTCTCTTGTGCAGGGACTTGACCATCATCTCAATAAGTGAAACTGAGGTCTCATGTGGCCAGATGACCTTCTTGCTGGAAGGCTTTGTGGAGAAACATGAGAGAGAGCATAGATAATAAAATAGATATCATATTATATTATTAGTATATATATTATTATGTAATATTATCACCAACAAATTGATATTAACTTTTAATATTTCTCATATAATTATTATAAACTTTATCATTTCGTGTGTGGATTGAGAACTTTAAATTTTTTAAATTATAAATATTTATCAATAAAAGGTAGTAAAAATAACAATATTATATCAAAAATAAATAAATTAATATATTAAATTTTGATTTCAAAAATTTATCAAATCATTTTTTCAAAAAGGTATAAAAATAAAAAATTGAAAAAAACAAAATAAATAAAAGAAAAATTATAACATAAACAAGTTTTAAAATTAATTAAATACTAATTCAAATAATAATAAACATTTTATTTTTCCCTAATAAGAATGATAATAATAATTATAAAATTTAGAATAAATTAAATTGGCCAACACCAACTCAACAAGAAGAGGAAGATAAATACCCCTGTGGCAAAGAGGTAACATCCTCCTCCACATTGCTTGGTCTATAAATCACAAGTAGAAAACAAGAAGAAGAGGAAGAGAAAGGCAGATTACCACTGTGGCAGTGGTGGTGGTGTGAGATGCTGGCATTTTGTGGTGGATGTAGAGGATGAGCCACCACAGCTGTGCCCCTCTTTGTTGTTGATGTTGAGGTGACTGTTCCTGCTGAGATGGTAGCAAATGGGCCACTCACTGGTGCAAGTTGGGTGGAGGAGTTGTAATTGCACTGAGGAGAAGAAGGAGCAGGAAGAGGAGTGGCACCTCTGCTTTGCATCATACATTGCTCTTGCCAAGGAGAAGGGGAGGCCATTAACATAAATAGGGGGAAAGAATGTGGGCATGTGTGAAGATGTGGACTGCAAGGGGGAGAGTGGAGTGCAGCAACAAGGGGGAGAGCAGTGGAGTGCTGTGGGTGCAAAAGGTAAAAAGGATACGGCACGGTGGATTCCCGGGTGGTCGCCCACCCCAGTACTAACACCGCCTGGCGCAGCTTAACTTCGCTGTTCGGATGGGAAGCGGTGCTTTCTGCGCAGTATGGCCGTATCCAACAGTTCTCACCACTCTGCCTCCATCACATCCCCCTTGTCTCTGCACACTGGCCCAAGAAGCCGATGGTCGTACCTGTAACAGGTCGAGAGGTGTTGTTGTTGTGCGCGTGTTGGAATAGAAGTTATTTTTATATGATCAAGAGTGGAGGGTGGATCATGGCTGCTGGGTCTCAGCGGGCTTTACTTCCTCGTTCGACTTGGCTTCGGCCTCCTTGTCGCCTTTGTCGTCATCGTCCTCTTCTCCGTCCTCCCGGTAGTTCTCGGTCTTCATGTCGTTGAGGCCGAGATCCTCGTTCTGGTCCCACGAGCGTTCGTACTCCTCGACGGTCATGTTGGGGTCCTCGTCGGGCGCGTAGATGTTCTGGAGGTAACTGTTGGCCACCGGGTCGTCGAGCACCAGCGTGAAGGGTCCGCTTCGGAAGGCCAGAAGGTCGTCGAGGCCCTCGATGAGCGAGACCATACGGCCCGCGGAGGCGGCGCTGTCGCCGCGCAGGAAGGGGTTGTTCTTGAGGTCGTCGCGGATGGTGGTGAGGAGGCCCTCGATGGTGCTGAACTTGCCGCCGAGGGTGCCGGGGACGAGGCCCAGCTCGAGCTCGGGGATCTCGAGGCCGGCGGTCTCGGACTTGAGCACGTCGCGGTTGAGGTCGTCGGCGTTGGTGAGGCGCAGAGTGATCTTGCAGCCCTTGGGGGCGATGGCGCCGCCGGACTTGACCTCGTTGGACTTGTAGCCGCAGGCCTCGCACATAAAGGCCATGATGATGACGTCCTTGAAGTGGGGGATGTGGGCCACGCACATGCGCGTCTCGCCGCGCTTGCCGCACAGGCCGCAGGTCTCCGGGAACTTCATCACCTCCTCGAGGTGTTCGGCGCCGCCTTCCTCCGCGCGCTTGACCAGCGCCTCGGCATCGGCACCGGACAGGAGTCCACCGCCGCCACTCTTCTTCGCCTCCTTCTGGCCTTCCTCCTCCTCCTCTCCTCCTCTTCGTCCTCGCCGTCTTCACCGTACGCCTGCGAGATGCCGAGAGCACGGTTCTGTTCGCGGTTGCGCTCGTAGTGGGTGATGGTGAGGTTGGGGTCGGCAGCGGGGGCGGACGGGTTCTCGACGAACGAATTGCCGGCAGGATCGTCGATGATGAAGGTGAACTTCTTGCCTCCGTGCTTGAGCTCCTCGAGCTTGGCGGTGAAAGCGTCGATTTGGGCCGCCACATTGGGTGCCGCTGCCCTTCGCTCCTCCTGGCCCTGGTTGAGACCCTCGATGGCCTGCATCAGGAATCCCTCGATCGTGTTGAGCGTTCCCTTCTGGGTCAATGGCGGAATCTCGAAATCCAATTCCGGAATGTAGATGCTGGCTGCATCCGATTTCACCACCTGGCGGTTGAGATCGCCCTTGTCGGTGACCACCAGCTTGTAGATGCAGCCCCGTTCGGCGATGGAACCGCCGAATTGGATCTCGTTGTTACGGAAGCCGCAGTGCTTGCAATGGAAGGACATGAGGATTATCTCCTTGAACGAGGGGATCTTGGTGAGAAGGAGATTGGTCATGCCGTTCTCGTGGCAGTTCATGCAGAGGCTCTCGATGCGCGTGGGTCCCTCATCGGCTCCGAGATCGGCGAAGATGGGGTCATTGTTGTCCTGGGTCTCAGTCTGCTGTCCTTCCATCCTTATTTCTTGTGTGCCTAGACCTTACTCTCGATCAACCGTGTTCGATCCTGTCGCCGTCAACTGAAGATGAGGAGATGACCAGAGCTCACAACCCCAAAAAAAACCAAGCCAGAAAAATGCAAACTGAGAAATAAACGGAAACCCAAAATTTCTCTTTCTCCCAAAACCCTCGGAAAAATCAGGGATTGCTTTTCTGCGGATCCGAAAGAGATTTCTTGGTCGACATAAATTGCAGCGGAAAACGGCGATTGGTGCCATTTTTTCGGAGTCACTGCGCAAAAACGAAGACAACGCTGGACGATTCAGCCTTCCATCTCGCACAACAATAAGTACAAGGAGGTCTGTGACGGGCTTCCCACCCACCTTCCATCTGCCCGAGACCACTAGGCCTGACCATCACGCGCCTACCAGGCTGCGTTAATTCGAAGAACAGACACCCTTACTTCTAGAAACTGCGGCAGTCCCAGCCCATCGCGTTCCTACTACTCTCCCTCGTCTGCCTACGCGCAGCTGCAAGAGACATAGATATAGCGTACGTTCTCTAGACCATTCCTCATTCTAGTAATTATTACATTTTTCTTCCTGTTCCTTCCGGTTGTTCATGTTTCTACCCTCTGCTGATCCAATTCTTCAACACAAATTCAATCAAATTGGCAATGTCTGCTCATTTCTCCTTTCTTTTTTAAAATTCATTCCCGACTTTGGTCTTTGTGCGCGCAGTGAAGAGGGTTTATGTTCTGGGCGAAAGCCGCACAACATTCCTACCATACGATCTTCGAACCCACCTACCGCGCCTACAGCCAAAACCAAAAAACCGACTCTCCCTCGGCCTTCCGCCTTCATCTGACATCTCATCTCCTCAAAAACGGCAACGACTCTCATCTCGCCGACAACCACCCTCACCTCGCCCATCCCTCCCGCACCTCCACCGAATCCGAAGAGGAGCACGTGAAGATGAGCAGAAGCAACAACAACGGCAAAAGGCACAAAAACCACGCTGGCCACAAAGCCAGCAAACATCGTAAAAACAATAAGGGCAACAAAGCCAACAACCACAACAACTCCTCCCACCACGCGACTCATGGCAAACGCCGCATCAACAGAGCCCCTCAAGGAACGGGCGAAGGCTGGTATGCCGTGGCTGCCATGCAGGGGCGTCGGCCCCACATGGAGGACACGTACAGCGTCGTGATTCCCGACACGACTGGCCCCACCGGCGGCGACCTCCACTCCCTCTTCGGCGTGTTCGACGGACACGGCGGCAAGGTATCATCATTTCTTTCTTCTTCATTTCTTCGCCGCGCTCCTATGGCACGTGCTGCGTAGTGTATGCGTGTGCTATGTGCTGACTCGCCTTTCCCTCCTGCAGAAAGTGTCGCAGTTCTTGAAGGACAACTTGCTGCCCGCCATCGTCGAGGCCTACGCTCAGGAGAAGGCGGGCGAGGAAGATGACCCCGACCACCAGCGCACCCCCGCGGAGAGGCTGCAGGCCATCCTCCCGCGCACCTTCCTCAGGATCGATGAGCGCGCCATGGCCGACGACCAGCTCTCCGGCAGCACGGCCGTCGTGGCCATCCTCACCGAGAACGACGTCGTCGTAGCCAACGTGGGCGACTCGCGGGGCATCATCTACCGCTCCAACGAGGCCGCCAGCCAGCGCATGCGCGAGTCCGGCGACAGCGGCTACGACAGCAGCAACGACGCCTCTCTCCACTCGACCGCGAGCGAGGACGACGCCACCGAAGACGCCACCGACGAGGAAAACGACACCGACACCGACGAAGACCTGGACGACGCGGTGCCCAATGCCAAGGGTGCCAAGAAGCAGCAGCAGCAGCAGCAGCAAAAGCAAAAGCCTGATGGGTCGCAGAAAAAGAAGAAGAGGAAGTACAAGAAGAAGCCCGAGGAAGGACCCGTGGGCAAGATCGGCCGATGGCAGGCGCTCTCGGTCGACCACAAGCCGAACCGGCCCGACGAGAGGGAGCGGGTGGAGCACTGCGGCGGGCGCGTGACGAAGAGGACCAACGATGTGTGGCGCTTCCAGAGCGTGCTCGCCGTCTCCCGCGCGTTCGGCGATCACGGGCTCAAGGTGGGTGCCGGCGGCTCCGCACTCACTGCGAACCCGGAGATCAAGATATTCACGCGCCAGGAGAACGACAAGTTCTTCGTGTTGGCTAGGTAAACACACGCGCACACGCGCACACGCGCACACAACACCGCACGCATGAAACTCATCAACCTCCCCCCTCTTTTGTAACCATCAGTGACGGCTTATGGGACGTCTACACCAACGAACAGGCCGCGAAGGTCGGCCGCAACGTTCTTCTGCAGAACCCCAAGAACCCCGCCCAAGCAGTACCGTCACTCGTCAAGCTCATCTAAGCCCTC